GCTAATGAGTTTAGTTTACAGAGAATAACACTTTTGATTTAAAGGGTTAGAATTCTAAAAGTGAATAAATATTCTGTGGTAGTGAAGTTGGTCAAATGAGTGAAAGTAAAAAGATAATTTGAATATTTAGTATTGTGAGGGCAGTATTTATGAAGACTTCTTCAGGGTCAGTCTGACGAGGTCGTGTCTCACCTTACAGGCTCCGGGCAGCAGGTGGAGTTTGACGTACGGGTCGGACAAACCGTTGAAGTCCATCGACTTCAGACCCTGAAGACACAGAACAGGGTTACTGATTGGTCCTTATATGGTCACTGTGTGTAATTCCACTCCTGTTACTTAAGCACTTTGTGACTAACGTCTGTGAAAAGAGCTTTATGAATACATTTGACTTACTTATGATGAGACACTTAACAGGTGTTTCTAATTAATCACAGTCTGATTGGTTTCTCTCCTCCAGACTCATTCATGTGATCAGTAACACCTGAACTCAAAGGAGATCACAAGATCACGCTTCTCTCTGCGGTCTTGTTTTCTCTTCAGAATAAAAGTCCTGCTCCTCTATGAACAGAACCATGATGACTAGAAGTAGAACTAGAACACGTCTTTAGTGCAGAACAACAGTTATGATGACATCAGTCATTAAGAAGAAATAAAAGGTTTGATCATTTATTTTACTAAAATGATCAAACAATATCATCTTTAAATCCAACATGTTTCCAAATGTCTACAAGTGTTACCAATGTAGAAAGAATGGCGTCTCTACATGTTATAAACATTAAACTATTCACATGTTTCCTCACATGACAATGATCTGCAGTGAGTGAGTGAGACTGGGGTCTGAATAGTGATGCAGCAGAGTGAGCAGAGAGTGATGAGCTGATGAGGTGAGTGAGAGATAGAAAAAACAGCATAACGGTGGCAGAGCTGTGACAGATACATCATCATCAGTTGTTAGCTGATAAATAATCTGAATCTCTAACTAAAGTTATAAAAGTAATGCAGTAAAGAGAAGGTGATTTATTCCTGATGAATCTCAGTGTGAACAGATGATTATTGATGCCATCACGATGAATCAGAAGCTGACTGACTCAAATTAGAACAGATTTAAACACACGCCCGAAGGATCAAACACCCGATTAGAATCCGGTGACCTCATCAACATCGTGACAGATTAATCCCAAATTCATTTCAACAGCTTTGACATTTTGCAGCGACGGATTTTAGTTATTCTGTACATTTTGTTTTAACGAGTCTGAGACCTGAGAGACGTGAACTCATGATGAAAGTTTGTACTCAGATCTTTAACTGATCGGTAAAAATACACTTCTTGTGGGTCCCCTTTCAGAGAGTTACGTTATCATATAGATCATATTATTACTGATGCTATAACACAGAAGAAGTATTTTATTGTTGGTGGAGCCATCTTGACTTTTTTTATCAACCAGTGAACAGGAAGTGACCGTATCTGGACTGAGGAGGAGTAAAGTAGAGACACCGTATACGTCTCTGGTGTTGACCTGTCAATCAGCATGTAGCCCCGCCCTAAAGCATCCCCTGCTTTATGGTCTGTTTGACTCTAAATGGACCATAATGTACTAAATGAACATCATAACTTAGCTATGTTCCAAATGTAACGTGTTCTAGCTAGCTAGCTAACTTAGCTATGTTCCAAATGTAGTGTTCTAGCTAGCTAGCTAACTTAGCTATGTTCCAAATGTAACGTGTTCTAGCTAGCTAGCTAACTTAGCTATGTTCCAAATGTAACGTGTTCTAGCTAGCTAGCTGACTTAGCTATGTTCCAAATGTAACGTGTTCTAGCTAGCTAGCTAACTTAGCTATGTTCCAAATGTAACGTTTCTATCCAGATGTGTTTTATCCATCATCACTTTTTAGACATCGTAGCTTTCAAGAGAGAAGACACTTACAACACTTTTTGGTGTGCCGTCTGTATAATTACGTATTCATGAAGTTTTACAACAAAATGCTACTTTCTGTAGTGTTAAATTATATTTTAATTGACGGACGTGTATGTAATTAATGGCACAATTCAAACCAGGGACTTTCTCCTCTGCAAAATATCCAGGTTTTATCCAGTAGAGGGCAGTCGTTATGAAGAATTCAAGTCAAGATCAGGACCTGAATCCATTAATAACGATAATAAATACACATTTACATTAGTTTTCATCTTATAAAAGTGGTTTAGGGGTTTAGTTAGCTACTCTTTAAGTACGGAAGTTACGTGACAAATAAGTCAAAGTTGACTTTTTGTTGGTGTCCAACTCAACTTGCTCCCTCCGAGGACGTTGTCTCTCTTCATACTATGAACTGGAAGGAGACGACAAACCAATGAGCATGTTTATCACCAGTTCATATATTGATCAGTATTGATCTTGTACTTAAATGGGTTAAATATGTCGATCACCATTACACATCTTTGTGACCAGTGGAAGTCTTTGTGTCTCTGCTGTGGTATAAACAGCATAGTGTATATAAAGTGTGATTACAGAGAAATACTGTGTTTTATATAATTAAAGCATCACTCAAAGCAATAAAAAAGGACTGTTATCACTTCAGATACTGAAGGAAATCTGCTCTCATCCTCCGTGACATCAGCAGGAATCTGGTTTTCCTTTATTCCCCCTCCACCGAGCAGAGGATTATGGAGGCTGTAGCGTCAAATATTAATTATATCCCTGATAGTATTTCAGTGCAAATTCAGACTTATTGAGCCTGTGGCATTTCTTTCATTTTGAACTTTCACCGACACAAAAAGTATTTTTTTATCCGGTAATGTGTCCGAGGACGGAGAACAATAGCAGCACAGGTATGAATCATTATGGTAGTGAATGTTAGGCAGGTAGAGGAAATGTCAACGGTGAGATTTAAGAGCCAGCAGAGCTCTAGAGCAGGTGTTGAGCTCTGAGGATAACGCACACACACACACACACACACACACACACACACACTGAGCTCAGGGACAGGTAGACCAAGTGTCTGCTGCAGCCGGTTGTCTCTTTACAGTCCTCAGTTACTATTTCTGACACTTTAAATCGTTCCCCGGTGCCGCGGTTTGATCTGCGTTATGACCCTTCTGTTGCTTTGTCGTGGTGCAGAGACGTGTTCTGGTTCAAATAAAGCTGGATCGGTCTCAGGTTAGCTTTAAAATACTGGCCGATTTCAAATATCATTTTTTTTTGTCAAACCACACGTAAGCACACAAACGTCATTCGTGTCCAGTGTGAAACCAAAAGTCACTTATTTTGACTTATTTGTCACGTAACTTCCGTACTTAAAGAGTAGCTAACTGAACCCCCAAACCACTAAGCTGAAAACTAATGTGTCTGTGTATTTATTACTGTTGTTGATGGATTCAGTTCCTAATCTTGACATTTTAGTAGTTGGATTCCTCATAATGTTTCATGAATATACATAACGACTGCCGTCTACTGGATAAAACCAGGATGTTTAAATGTTATTTTGCGGAGGGGAAGTCCCGTCCCCGGTTCACCACCATGGGACCTTTTTTCGGGAAATTTAGTCAACAGCAAGAGACAAATAATTAGTTGATCCTGTTTGCCATGTATTACACATATTATGTTTGTGAGTTTAAAAGATAATTTTACACATCAAGAAGCATTTTGTTGTAAAACTGTTGAAGTATAAGACTGTGAAAGTACTTCTTGAAAGACTACACACTTAAAAGTGTTGTAAGTGTTGTCTCTCTCTGAAGCTACGATATCTGTATGTTTCGTACCGGCATGTTCTCACACCAACAACGAGGTCTCACTCGTTCTTTCTCTCCCCGGCTGATAAAAAGAGATGATGGATAAAACACATCAGCTAAGAAAACCTAATAATTGGAACATAGCTAAGTTAGCTAGCTAGATAACGTTACATTTAGAACATAGTTAAGTTAGCTAGCTAGATAACGTTACATTTAGAACATAGTTAAGTTAGCTAGCTAGATAACATTACATTTAGAACATAGTTAAGTTAGCTAGCTAGATAACGTTACATGTAGAACATAGTTAAGTTAGCTAGCTAGCTAGCTAGCTAGATAATGTTACATTTGGACGATAGTTGAGTTAGCTAGCAAACCAAGCTAACGTCAGTTTTCACACAACCTAATGATACTACGACAAATCTATGACATACTGAGACTTTCTTGACTTGCAAAATTATCTTTTGAATTGACAAACATCAGATGTGTAATTCATGGTCCAATTTGAAAGGGACCAAATAATTATTAGTCTTTTGCTGTTGGGTTAGTTAGGTCAATGTTGACTAATGTCAAAAGAAGGTCCTATTATTCACCACTTATTCACTTCCTGTTCCCTCGTCTGGAAGTCGATGTGTCTTTTGAATGTGTTTTTGGTTAGATGTCTGAAATTGTGTGGTCGACACAAGCTGAGGAGGTTTTGACATTTTGTTCTACGATATATTAATCAGTAAATACCACTTATTTAGAGTTTACAAGCTTTTATGTGGCGGTTTGCTCACAAGTGAGAATATACTTTTGCTCTGTTCTTCCTGGTTTGGGTTCTTTAGTTAAATGAAGATAAATCTTAATTCTACATTTGTTTCAGGCAGCTGATTGTGATTCCCACGTTGAAACAGAGATGATACAACAAAGAGCACCGAGCCTCTTGTGTCTGAATGGGAACAAATCTGTGCAGCAAGGTCCAAAAATCCACTTTGGAAAGCCTGAAAGCAGAGGAGTGGAGGCTGTTGGAGCAGCACATTAATGGCTTGGAGAGCGTCCTTACCTTCGCCCGGAGCACAGTGCAGTGCAGCTCACTGGAGCTGCGCTCGTATCTCAGCTCAAACTCCAGCGTTCCCAGAGCAGCTGGGGGGGGGATACACAGGAGAGACACCTGATTTACATCCATCGCATCAGTAGCATCAGAAAAAGAAAAAAAATGACATTGTTGAAAATCAGTCAGAATAAATTGAAAAGCATGCGAGAGAACAGAGAAATGTCTCAGCATGCATGCAGAGGATTGAAAATCCAATTTAGGGGAGCAGCAGCTGTCACATGAAGCTGAACACAACACATCACATGTCAACACGGAACATCCTCTTAGAAGGAGAGGAAACACATTCGTCAGGGCGTCTTACAGTTCATACAGCGTAGAAAGGTACAACACACACACACTCACACACCAAACACAACCTGGTGTTCTTCCAGTGCAGTTATATAAGATGATACAAACAGAATATGATTTACGGGGATTAGAACAAACATCTATTTTAGGCATCAGCTCTCATAAATACCAACAACCCACTGCTTACAAAACATATTGTATTTTCTCGCTATACTGTAAGCTGCTGTGTGTTCATCAACCTGGACTGTTTCCAAATCCTCTTCAGCTTCTGGAACTTCTGAAGTGACTGTTTCCATTTCATGTTGGCAAGTCTACGACACAAAACAACCTCAAAAAGAGACGGCCACTCAGGGACAAAGACACACAAACAATTACAAAGACAAGCAAAACAACTATTGAGAAACGCAAGAAGACTACAGCCACAAACCACAACAAAGACCACTGACCGCAAAGACCCTCAAAACAACTACAAAGACACATAAAACAAGTACAAAGAGACATAAAACAAGTACAAAGACACATAAAACAAGTACAAAGACACATAAAACAAGTACAAAGACACATAAAACAAGTACAAAGAGACGGCCCCTAAGGGATGCACAACAAGATGCAAAACAAAATGACAGAGATGCAAAATGACAACAATAAGACAAATAAATGACAACAGAGAGACACAGTAACTACCGAGACACAGAAAATGATCCGAAAGACATGCGACCACAAAGAGACACAAGATGACTACAGATAGACAAATAACAACCACTAAGAGACAAAAAACGACCACAAAGAAATGCAAAAAAAGGACGTAAAATAACTGCAGAGACAGAACAACCTCAGAGAGAGGACCACGGCTGTGTGGAGTTGTTTTGTTCTCTCTCAGTCTGGGGGTCAAGGTATTTTTTCTCCATAAGGGACTGAAATTAAATGTATATCAGTGTCACAGCTGCCGTCTGAGAGACACTTCACATCTCTGAAACCCTGGTCGTCCATCAGAAGCAGCACATCAGCAGCAGCTTCAGTCTGCAGAGAATCTGACATGAACGACTTGAAACCTAAAAACATGATCGGATGGCACTTTTGCAGAAGTGGAAAGTAAATAAGCACGATGCATTTACTCGAATACCTTATCTATTTGAGTTTTGAGGTACTTGTACTTGTACTCACTAACATGCAGAGATAAGAGATATATCTCAGAGCTTCAGTATGAAACACTTCTCTCTGCTTCCTCAACACAAAATGGAACTAAAAAGCTGTGGGTGCACTTTACATTTACATTTCTTTTCTCCAAATGTGAATGCTTGCGGTTCTGATTCCACCCACCTACACTGACTTCCAGCACCCCGGTGCAGAGACAACTGGCTGCTGCAAACATACAGCACCAACAAACGCAGCGCTTCAGCATCCTGAAGACGTCACTGCACAGTGGAAATGCTCTGCAGTGAGGAGACCTGAGCCTTTGAAGGAAATCTCAAACAAAAGGACTCAAGCTCTAATGAAAAACGTGTTCGTTTAACACAACAAAAGAAGCAGAATAACCACATAGGGACGCAGAATGTCTACACAAAGACACCAAACGACCACAAAGTAACATATAATGACTACAAAGAGACACGAAATCACTGCAAAGAGACTAAAAATTACCACAAAGATTCGGAAACAACCAAAGAGACAAACAAACCACCACAAAGAGAAACAGGATGACTACAAAGAGACAAAAAATAACCAAAGAGACAAAAACAGCCACAAAGGGACTCAACACGTGTTGTTAGTCATTGTGTTGTGTCTCTTTCCGTCTGGCGCTCTCGCTCTTCTATTGGAGGGGGGGGGGGGGGGGGGGGG